AGGGATTTTTAAAATTTATTTTTATTTATTTTTGAGGCATGGTGTCACTGGATAGCTCTGGATGCCTGGACTTCACTATATAGAAAAATCTGAACTTGAACTCAGAGAACTCAGCCTGCCTCAGCCTACCAGGCACCGAGATCAAAGGTTTGCACCACTACACAGAGATCACATCTGTTTTCTTCTTTGTTCTTAAACCCACTGTGGTCCCTGGTTTGTTGGTGATGCTCAATAATTATTTACGAAGTTAAACTGGCTTTTACTGAACAAAGAGACCAGTTTGGGAAGAAGTTAAAAGCTAAGTATAATCTGAATTTCAAAATCTTAGTGCTTAGGCAAGGAAAAACCAAGAAAGCATCTCTGAGAGATAGCAAGGAGACAAGTACACCAAAGCATTGTGGGGTTTGTGCTGATTCTGAGCAGAGAGATGGGAACTGAATGAACAAATAAGAAATCACTCAACAGAAACAAATGCCACCCCCTGTAGGACCTTGACAGTGATTCCTTTTAAAGGGTAAAAGGATAATATAGCAGAAATGTGTACTCTAAGTCAGCAGCGTCGCTATGATCAGAAGCAAGATAGTAGTAACAATGATCACTTACACCCAGGCCAACAGTTGCAAATACAACAAAGCAAGCTGAGCGGTGGTTTCCATCACTCACCAGGGCTCTGGGACATAAATCCATACAAGGTGGCACCTGGAGCCGGGCCTGGGATTCCAAGGGCACACTCAGGTGTGTTACTAAGTGTCCCAGGGTCTGTGTACATACCCCAAAGCGGTGTGGGGCATGCCATTTTAGCCTTCATTTTCCTAAGTCTATTGGAAGATAAAAAGAAATATGGCAGAACCCAATAGAAGATTCTGCTTGGTATACAGTGGGCTTCATTCGGTCTGAAAAGCCATTCAAATAATTAGTTTCCTTCCTAGATGGGCCCTACAGCAGTTTTCTCTGTTTAAATAAATGGCACGTCCTATTTGTTATATGCTGTTTCCAGGTGTGATACTGATGGATACTGTATATAATGTAAGCCAATTGTCTGCTTAATTTCATATTTAAACAACACACAAAGCCTAGAGTAACTTCTTATCCCCCCTCAACAGACAAAGAAAGAAACGAGTGAAAACAGACATCCTTCTGTAATGTAAGTCAAGTTAGTCATTGGACTCACTTGGATCAACCAGCAGCCTCGTTCCTGTCCCAAAGATAAGTTTGAAGCCTGTGTTGCTCACAGTGATTTGTCCTGTGACAAAATGGGTTATTTCCTTCCCTTGCCACTTTCACAACACAGCTGGGAAGCCCACGGCAAGTCTTTAGTAAAAGGCTTTGTATGTTTTCTGTTCGTGAATGAATCTTGCACTCAGCCTGCAAGATGGTCATTCATTCAACAGTGGTCACAGCATATGGTTCCAGGATCAGGTCCCAGCTTCTAGACCCTGCCTAGTTTGCATTAGTATTTTGATGATATTAGATGATTAAAGCAACCCTTCTTAACTGCCTTTTAGGAAGAAAATAAGTTCTGAATTAGATGAATTCCAAGATAAGAGCTAAGTGGTCTACACCCTAATTCTAACCCTATAATCTAGCAACAGCCAAAGTGCATTTTCCTGGAACTCACAAGCAGCCAGGCCCTTGCAGACAGCTAACCGGTGGCTGTTCTGCCTGGGAGACAGAAGGGACAGTGAGGGAAGGGGAGGGGTCGCTCTCTTCCTTCTCTCCACTGGGCTAAGTGACCCCAACAGCCCTGTGCTCTGCTGTGTTAAAGAAAAGAGAATCCTCTAGAATGGGAGCATCTAGATCAAGACTTTCTGAATCTTTAACTTCTGGTGACATCCAAGATGGAAAAGCTACACTCCATGTATTTCCCTACTCTCTGTGATTGGCATTCTCTCTCCTTTGAAAGCGAATCACGGCAGAGCCTGTGACAACATGAAGCAGAAAGGACAGGGCTTTGAGGTCAGACAGGTTGACCAAGTTTGGATTTCAGTCTCTCAGATAACTAGCCATCAAATGTGGGGCGATAAACTACCATTTCCCCACCCTGTAGTAGAGAATTCTTCCCCTGCGAGCCTCATTTCCCCACCCTATAAGTAGAGAATTCTTCCCCTGCGAGCCTCATTTCCCCACCCCGTAAGACAGAGAATATTGCCCCTCGCCTTACAGAGCTCTGCAGTCAATACTCATCTAATGCCATACCCACACGTCATAGGCACTGATATGATGGTTATTATCATTTCTTTTCCCTTGATGATACTGATGATGCAGTGTGTGTGTTATGTGTGTGTGTATGTGTGTGTTTATGTATGTGTGTATGTGTATGTGTGTGTGTGTGTATTTTCTGTGGGCTGAACGCCCATCATCAGGTTTGTATATAAAGCATTTTACCTGCTGAAGCATCTCATGGGCCACACTCTTGAATTGCATGAGCTCTAGGGTCATAAAGGGGGGAACCGCTGGACCACAGATGCCTGCACCCCTCATCTCTTGGGAGAGTCCAAGGCTCACAGAGGATGATGATTTGTTCAATATCACACAGAAAGTTGATGCCAAATCAAATTTAGTTTCTTGTCTGAAACTAGAATACCTGGGGTCGCTTGTTGGTATCTTGCTGACTCTTTGAGGACATTGGTTTGTATAAGTGGGCACTTAGTCTCTGGAGTGAATTTAGCTTAGCTTATTTGGGGCATAGGCGAAAGCACCTTGAACATCCTCAATGGTAGTGGAAGCCTAAAAGGTCTATCAAATAGCGGCCATGTGATTTTCTGTTCTAGCTGCCTCTGTCCATTCAACTTCACTTAGCAAAATTCTCAGGTTAAAATTCTAATGTTAGGCAGAGCTACTCTCAGCCTCAATTCTTAAAGTAATGCTAAATTCCACCTCAGAGAAAATATGCTCAAGTCAGTCTTAAACACTATATCAAGATTGCAATCTTAATACTTCATATAAAAATAAGATACAGTGACAAAATCCCATCTTGTGGCTGCTCACTGTAGTTAGTACAGCACCCCACACAAACGGGTCCACTCTTAGCTGGGTTACCCTTCCAAAGGTGAGCGCGTTTGCTCCTTCCCAGCTCCCACAGTGTCTGAGGCCTCACAGTAAACAGTCTCCCATGTCACCCCTCTCCTCACCCTAATGACTTGGGAAACACTTGAGATTTAACAGAACCGTGTGACTTCTTCATAGGAAGAACAAGTTCCCGCTTCACAGCCTCGAATGGAGCACATTCCTAGAGGCCTGGTGGAGACGGGCAGAAAAGGCTATTTGAGTGGAGTCCCAATACCAATTTAAGAGAGACAGAGTGTGTGTGTGTGTGGGGTCTCCAACAAGAAGGCTGCTGTGAGTTACATTTCTGATTGGCAGCAGAGAAGAGAGCATGCATCTTTTTGATTCTTGGTCTAATGTGTCCCTTTTCTCTACATCCGGGGATGCTCTGTGCTGTCTGGTTCATTCCTGTCCCCCTTCCCTTTGGCCTGGAAATTCTGATGTCTCTGGGTACTCAATTTCAGTTAAACAAATATTTATCAAATTTGTAAAAGAACCATGTTAGATATTGCAAGGGATGGAAGAACCTTTGATCTCCCAGATTAACAGTGGATGTGCTTAGTGATGAGTTTCTGTAACTCTGTGTGTTACAGACTAAGACTGCGCAGCTAAGGTGGCGATACAGAAGGTGAGAGGACTGTGAGGGACGTCTGAGGGAAAGACACAGTCCAGGCTTCTCACAGGAAGCTAGTCTATTTCCAGAGAGACTACCTTTCCCTGGGTATCTGGGTCTTAGTCCGCACTCCATCCTACCCTGGTGACTTAGCTCTGCTGTCATTTATAGCTCGTCTCTTGCTGTCTTGTTCAAATGACGAGCCCAGGAAGGTACAGCCTTAAATTCCCACATTGGCACCAGACAGAACAAGGACGATGCATCCATGAAACACAGCAAGGGACACAACAGGAAGACGAGAGCAGCGTTTACCTGGAGAGACGAGAAGCACAGTGCCCTTTCCAAAACTGAGTTTGCCGAATCCTGAGCTCACACTGTGACAAAACCCTACACAAAAATGGCCTGCAGCGTAGGGCTTTTCAACCGTGATATAGTTGGAAGGAGAAA